ACTGAGCCCTGAGGCACCCCAGTAGCTAGATGTTGCGACTTGGACACCTCACCTCTCCAAGATACCTTGAAGGACCTATCTGAGAGGTAAGACTCAAACCACTGGCGTGCGGTTCCTGAGATGCCATTTTCCAATAGGGTTGACAGGAGAATCTAGTGGTTCACCGTATCAAAAGCAGCAGACAGATCCAGCTAAATAAGTATAGAAGATTTGGAAGCCGCTCTTGGCAGTCTTAGGGCTTCAACAACTGAAAGCAAGGCAGTCTCTGTCGAATGTCCACTTCTGAAGCCAGATTGGTTGCCGTCCAGAAGGTTGTTCTGTGTGAGACACAACTCAATCAAGTGTTTTTGCAATGAACGGTAGAAGGGAAACCGGGTTGTAGTTCTCTAAAAGAGTTGGGTTAAGAGTGGGTTTCTTAAGAAGTGGGGTTATATGAGCCTGTTTAAATGTTGAGGGAAAACACCAGTGTGAAGGGATGTGTTAACGATGTGAGTGAGTGCAGGTACAACGGCAGGAGAAATGGCTTGAACGCCTGAGACAAAAGGCTCTGGTGGGCACCGTGGCGACAGGCAGAGCGGGCTTGGGCTACTTTCCAAAGACCTTGGATAGCCAGGCCAGCGGTAAGGAAAGACACCACCTACTGCAGGAAGAGGTTCGAGCAGGCGTGGAGGAAGAGCGAGGGAGCAGGGCAGGGGGACTCCGGCAGCAGGGAGCGTGGACTAGGTGGGAGAGTACACTGCAGCGTAGGATCACCTGGGCAAACATCTTGCAGGCAGATTTCCATCGGGTCCGTTTCCTGGTACAAGCTGTCTATGATGCCCTGCCAAGCCCAGCGAACCTCCATGTCTGGGGGAAGAGTGAGACACCCTTCTGCCTTCTTTGCTCTGGAAGAGGCTCTCTAGAACATCTCCTCAGCAGTTGCCCAAAGGCTCTGGCTGATGGGCGCTATCGGTGGCGCCATGACCAGGTGCTTAAGGCAATTGCTGAGAGCTTAGCCTCAGCCATTAGCACCAGCAAGTACCATCATGCTCCGAAGAAGGCAGTCCACTTTATTAAAGCTGGAGAGAAACATCGGGTGTGCCCACAATTAACAACAGGCCTCCTTCATAAAGCCTCGGATTGGCAGCTGCAGGTTGACCTGGGAAAACAGCTGAGGTTCCCTCAGCACATTGTAACAACAAGTCTCCGCCCAGACATGATAGTTACCTCCGAGGTTTCAAAACAGCTAATCATGCTGGAACTTACGGTTCCCTGGGAAGAGCGTATTGAGGAAGCAAATGAAAGGAAACGCGCTAAGTACCAGGAACTGGTGGAGAAGTGTAGGGAGAGAGGCTGGAGAACCTTCTATGAGCCTATAGAAGTCGGCTGTAGAGGCTTTGCGGGACGTTCACTTTGCAAAGTCCTCAGTCGTTTGGGCATTACAGGGGTGGCCAAGAAGAGGGCCATTCAAGCCGCGAGCGAAGCTGCAGAGAAGGCCACAAGGTGGCTTTGGTTTAAGAGGGCTGATCCGTGGGCTGCTACTGGGACGCAAGTCGGGCTTGATCAACCCCGGCTGGGTCGCCTGGGCGATGGTGTATGATGTTGCGAGACCCGAAATACCCAATGACCCCAGGGTACATCACTGAGGATGTGTCCCAGTGCATTCATGAGATGTTTCTTGTATAGCAGTGGAGACATTAGCAGAGAATGAAGAGAGGAGTGATCGATATACATTAAGGTCAGTAGGATATTGTGATTTGTGCCATACTCTTTCTGCAGCTCTGAGCTTAGAACGATGCTCACGGAGAACATCAGATAGCCAAGGGGCAGAAGAGGTGATCTTTAACATCATCATTTTATTAAAACAGTTCAATTTATTCTTCAGCTAATCTCAAAACATCCATTTTCATGCTGTACATTGTAATGTTCCGTTGCCTTCACTTGACACATTTAAAACAATTCATTTAAATTTGTTGTGATTTATTTAATAAATATCAGCCATTTATTGGTTCTCCCCCATAACATGGAAATAATGTTTTTTGTTATCAATAATATTTTTTTATATCTGTGCATCCTAAATTATTAGACTATACCAATCTTATGTGAAATACTGGGCTGCGTTTCCCGATAACGTTGTCTCTTAGCGCGCTACGAAGACTCCAAAGGTTTGCCTTAACTAAAGCTGTACCATTTCTAGGTGTGTTCCCCAAACTATACCTTAGGAGGCTGCTTAAGATATACCTTCTTACGTGCGACGTTACCAGGTGCTGTCCATAGCGGTGGTGCTGAATTGGTTGATATCGATAGCTCGAGAATCAATTATTCATTCTATGCACAGGCTGCTTCACTGCGTTATGTGAGAAAGCAGTGTTCTTTATAAAAGAAGTGTTGATTTTAAATAAAGACACGGAACCTTTTCCTGTTAGAATGCAAAGAACTTGCGTGAAACTTTTACTTTCGCTTTGCAACATACATCATGTCAGGGAAGAAAACCAAAAAAGAAAATTATATTCCCAGAGCATCTCCCAGTGGTCACCACATAAAATACAAAGGAAAAAAACCTACATGAGACACTGCTTAATAAATTTACATCTTCTAACAAAACAAAAAAAAGAAAAAGAAAGAAAGAAAGAAAAAACATAGGCCTACACAAGTCCAACAGAAAAATATTCTGGTAAGAGTGCTTTCCAACAAGAAGCACTTCAGTTCAAACTGTATTTATCAGGACTCATTGGATCTTATAAAAATAATCCAAATTGCAAACCAAATCCAACACTGGATATTTTAATATAATTTTGAAATGAGTGCGTGAACCCCGCAACCTCATGCCCAAACCTATCATGCATATCACTGACTGGCAGTATGCCTTCACTGGCCTTTGAAAGGGTCATTTATATTCTCATAATATATTTTCCATAGTGTCTTCATTTACTCCACAACCAGGGTTGACTGCCCCGCAGCTGCATAACATATTGGTGCAAATCACTAATTTCTGTTATTGGATGACCTACTCAATAATAACACAACAGGAGAAACATATAATCAACAGCTAGTACTATTGCGGAGAAAAAGAGAGAAAGAGCAGCTGAATTTGTGTCGACAAAATTGGACCACCAAGATCTAAAAGCTTCTGAATTTGCTGCCATGCCGGCGATTCTAAAGTTTTAGTGGACATATACACTATATGGCTCTGCGGACAGCATCATCTTTGATTTTGCACAATTATTATATTCATATAGAATGAGATGTAAAGAACTGTGAACTGTCAAAAGTGATAAGGTATAGCTAAGAGTGGTCCAGACCAACCTTACGAAAGTATGACTTGCAGAAGGTATACTTAACTAAGAATGTTTCAGGAAACACGTATTAACGATAAGGTTCAGGTTAAGGTACAACTTAAGAACGACGTAGCATTAAGAAGGTATTGGGAAACGCAGCCCTGACCAGTCAGCCATATTCACATTTAGAAAATAAAACAAAGTACATGATGCAAATGCTGAACTGACGTGAATAAAATACTTGTCTGATCAAGTAAAAGGGAATAAAGCAAGTGAATGTGCATTACTTTTCCTGCATGTTGAACTGCTCATGATGCCTCAGCATTGCTCTTCACACAGGCGGCAAACACCTCCATTAGCTCCTTACACGCTTCCTCACCATTCTCCTTTACACTGTAGCACACAGGAAACACAGTCATTACTCCAGCACACATATACACTGCTGATTCACATCAACATATCCCATATACAACACAAAAATGCAGATTTGTCCCTCTGAAGCACACAAGACTTCATGAAGTTTCTGTACCACACACTGTAAAGACATTACATAATTTTGGTTGTGTCTTTAGTTTCTGCGAAGTCATATAAAATGTGTACTCACAATAGGCCGGATTCTGCTGGGACTGAATGAGACAGTATGCATTTGTGAGAGTGAGATTATTTGAGCCTCTCTACACCAAACAATGGCAGACACTGCCACACTGCATTAGAGTGATGAAATGAAAACAAGGGTTGGAATGACAGCGCAAAGGGGGGGAAGAGATGTAAAAAGAGGGCGGTGGATAATCCAGCTGAACGAGTGAAAGATAGAGCCCTAGAATCACGTGACAAAGCAAGCAGGTAATGGAAAAGAGACATGCTGCTAAAAGAGGGAGATGTCGTGACTTATGAGGAAAAGAGTCCCTCCCCTGCATAGAAAATGATTTTAGTCTCTCCCTCCCCCACAGATCATCTGTTGCATCTCGCATGGTGACTTAAGCGTGCTCTTCCTCTCTTTCTCAGTGAGCGGTGATGTAACACACAGCTAGTCAATTTAAACATTAAGCGCCTTATGCAGACTGGATCTGATGAGCCACGTGACGTAGGTGTAAGAATGTATGGGGGGATTTCACTAGCCAAGGGCATTTCCTCTTCATAGGCAGCCATTATAATACTAATACTATATTCTTCTACTGGACAATAATACTAATACTAGATTCTTCTACTGGACAAAAAACAATTAGCGCTAGATTATGTCCTTATCCTCAACAACCAATAACTAGAGATCACAAAACAGTTTCAAGTCATCTGGAAAACCTTCCATGTTTTGGTCTGGAAGAATGGTCAATTTAAAATATGTTTTTACAGATAAATGGATTTTTAAAATGTGTTAAACTCCTGGAAAACTGCATCAAATGAACCAGAACATGGCTGTGTTTAAAGATCTTTTGATTTGGGAGACAAATGTTGAAACACTATAGTCTGTGGTATAAAACTGGCGGCAAAAGCACAGTCAATTTAAAAGCTAAAGGGATAGTTCGCCTAAACATGAACATTCTGTAATCATTTACTCACTCTCATCTTGTTTCCAAATTGTATGCCTTTCTTTCTACTCTGGAATATAAAAGAAAATGTTTTGAGAAAGGGCTTTCTTTTTTGTTTCTTTTGGAAGTCAAAACTGGTTGGTTACCAACATTCTTCCCTATATTATCTTTTGTGTTCTACAGAAGAAACGGTTTGTAATAACATGAGTGTGATTAAATGATGACAGAATTTTCATTTTTGGCTGAACTATCTTTTTAAATATATAGATAAATTGATCTTAATATGTGCTTCAAATGTGCATTAAATGAACCAAACCATGGTTATTTGCCAGTCAAATATTGAAATCTGTCAGTCTTGGAGGTGTAAAATTAAAATGATAGCAAAAAGCAACAGGCAAATGGGAAGGGGATGATCACCTTCCCCAAATTAAGACTGAATAATTCACAAGATGGCCAGTCCTCCACATATATAATGCAAAACAAAAAAGGGCACGGCTCAGAAGTGCTCTGATCTTAAACACAACAAACAGGAAATAATTTTACTTGACCTTAAGAATAATTCAGTTGGAATCAATAAATACTGAATCCATATGGAACTGATTTATTTCCACATGGAGCTCCTATAACAAAGCTATCCCATGTTGATAAACCAGATGCTTTTGTTTATTGATAGATTAAGTAACACTGTTTACCCTGAGGGGAGTTTCTAATAATGCATTCCAACCACTACAAGAGCAGGCATGCTAACACAAATGAGAGGAAAAAATCTGCTTAAAGTGGAAAAGATTAAATTGTAATTTGCTTTAACATTACTGAAAGGACACCCTATAGGACAAAATGGCTGTATGTTAACTCTGTGGCTAATGTTTAGTCACAGACTTTGAAACTCTAAAAAGTGGAGGACATCTCAAGGTCATAAGCTCACAGATTCACATTGCCAGAAAGCAGTAAAAAGAGATTTTACACATGTTCCACAACTAGCAACCAGATGCATCCTCCCATTGAATAACTGCTGGATTCTAGGGTTGAACCTGTAACATTAATCCTCTTCTGGTTTTAAAGCCCATGATGAATTCCTGTTTGTGAAGCAGCATGACAAAAAAAAATAGACAAAATGGCCACTGTGACATACTTAGACCAGGTGTAAAGTGATCCAGTGAATATTACATGTCACACTGTATAATGGATGACAGACACACACACATCTATGCAGTACCATGTACGACTATAAATACCAGTGTGGTGTACGTTACTTAAAGGTCGGCCTTCTGTAAGGTTAAACATTCAGCTAGTCAGCAACACATGCAAGTTGCTGGTCAAAGTGATTACAGAAAGGTCAATGACAAACTGACCTGCTAATAGTGTTTTAACTGTTAACAGTTCTGCCATTCCATCTTTTTCCCGCCAGTCTTTGCCATGTCTGTCCCTGCAGCCCCCAAGTCTTCCTTTGTCATTTTTGAGCGGTGGTTGCTCATATGAGAGGAAATTATTCATGTTCACAGATGCACCATTTTCTCCATTTTCCCTGCCCTCCCACCATTCCTTTTTGGATTAGTGGATTTTGTTTGTTTTTATATCCTGTAAAGCAGTATTTTGTAACTCCAGACCTACGGACCCACCTACCAGAACGTTTTAGATGTCTCACTAATTAAAACACCTGATTCATCTCATCATCTTCTTGGTGTGTGAATATGGAGACGTCTAAAGCATCCTGGGAGGTGGGTCTCAGGGACTGGAGTTGAGAAACACTGCTGTAAATGAAGGTGACCGTGATGGCCAGTGCTTCAGATGAACCAGTGACACATTATTCAACCAAATTCTCACCCTACACACCCTTCCCCTGTCTGGTCCTTGCACACCAAAGGTCAGGGTATGTGCAAGCTTATCTGTTTCTCATGCTGCCCAGGCCTGTCAACACTACAAACACCAAAAGCAGCCAAACTACATTTTTTTGGGTGGGTGTGGGGATTAGGGTCAAAATACAGTTTGAGCAATGGCTAGTGTCAATGGTCAAGAAGGAACACAATTAAAACCTACATAGAAGGGAAGACAGCATATTGAATGAATGTTCATCACTGGCCACTGGGCACAATCTCCTTCATTTGCAGTATATAAAACCAGCAAAACCTATTAGTGGGAGGGCAGGGGAAAACGAAGAAAAGGTTCATCCTCCATCATCAGTGATTCCCTCTCATTTAAGTGATCAAAACTCAAACATGGCAAAGTGAGGCCAGGGAGGTAGCAGGAACAGAAAGGGTGAAGACTGAGAGAGGAAATCAGGGATGGCAGAATGAGCGAGAGGAAAAGCATGATATAGACACATTCCCAACAGCCAATCAGCCGTGAGGAAGAACTGAAGTTGAACAAAAACCCCAGAATGCTCTTAATGAGCAGCCCCAATGATGCTGCCAACTCAGATCAAACTGACACCAATCAAACCATTTACAAAACTCAAAAAACGTAATCAAGTTACATCTTATTAAAAATACAGAATCCCTCTGCGCAAACCTTCCACCTCACATTTGACGGAAGGTCCTTCCTTCCCTCCATTTTGGATCACCATCATGATGCACAATTTACATTGCGTAACATAATTCTACTGAATATCACCAATCCCACCATGATTCTAACTAATTAAGAGCTACAATAAATCTATGTAGAAATAAATCTACATTTTGGAGCATAAGAATTTAACAAATTGTCATTCGGTCCATATAGAGATGCAACGGACCGGTATTATGGACCATACATGACTGCTACTCCAGACTGCTACTTACCATTTGTCTAAATCTGCCTTGATGGCCACACAGGGTGCTGGGACAGGGGTCTCGGCAGGAGCTGCAGTCTCTGAGTCTGACATGGTTCTATGGCGTTGGAGTGAGTGTATGTGTGCCTGCTCCGTGCGCTCCTGTGGTTATATGTGCAGGAGAAAAAGAGAGAATGGAGAGTTAAGAGTTGGCAAGAGGGAGGGGGAGTGTACATACTACACGGGGGGAGGAAGGAGGTGGGAACCGAACGTGAGAGGGCACATATGTACACGAGCAAGAGATCAAACGGGTTCAACCATACTCAGCAAAAAAAAAAAAAAAGCATTTTAAAAGTATGGTGCTTCAAATGCAAAATGCAAATAATTGTCCTTCTTTCTGCACCTAAACCAACAGTGTGTAATGAAGTGTACTGAGACAATGGAAATTATGCAGAGAAACTTAACTTGCATTCAACACAGAAAAGCTGCACTAGTGTTATATTATGGATTGTGCATGGACGCCCCCTAATGGCAACATGGTTTCACTATGTGCACCACTTTACACTTTTTTTTCTTTGTTAATATTTATTTTCATATAAAAGCAGTATCATTTAAATTACATCCAATTTCCTTTTTATTGATTTCTTAAAGATTTAAGTAACTACAGCCTGTGTGTAAACTTGAATAAATACAAAATAATCAAATCGAAATATATAAATAAACATAAAATGGTTAAATGAAAACATTTAAATTAACACATTTTACAACCTTCTTGTCTTTCTGCCTTTAAAATGAAAACAAAGGCTTACTTCCCCCATATTTGCATTTGTGTACACTATTTAGAAGTAGCAGATTAATGAATGAATTAAAAATGAATAAATTTTCATGAATGAACATTTTAAGAGTTAAAAGCATCACCACCAGCCACTTTAATAATAATCTCGTAATAATGACTTAGTTTCTCGAAATAATGACTTAGCTTCTCATAATAATGACTTATTTTCTCATAATAATGAGAAACTTT